ACCACCAGCTTGTGATATTCGTGTGGCTGCATGGGTCTGTCTGAAGTCTGGACGTAGGCACTAGTATCAGACTTACAGAATTGAGTTGGACTGTGCTGGGATATTTTCTTGATATATAATTACTTTTTGATATAAAGTTCTTTCTTACATATGTGTGTGTGTGTGTGTGTGTGTGTGTGTGTGTGTGTGTGTCTGGACTCGTTTCTCTAGTTAACCCAGCCAAACACAGCCCTCAACAAGATGACACAAGATGGACACAATGGCTGCAACAATGGACTCAAGCATAGGGACAATTGTGAAGATGGTGCAGGACCGGGCAGTGTTTTGTTGTGTCATGCATCGGGTAGACATGGGTCAGGATTGGCCCAACAGCACCTAACAACAACTATTGGTCCAGTTGTGAGGATTTTGGTCTTCTTTACATTGAATTGTAATCCATACTGAAGGCTGTAATCCTTGATCTTTATCAGGGAATGCTTCAACCCCTCCTCCCTTTCAGCAGGCAATACTGTGCCATCTTCATAAGGCAGGTTGTTAATAATCCTTCCTCCAATCCTTCTTCTAGGAGACTACGAGTCCAAATCCATGATGCCAATCTTTGTGAGGATGTGAGGGAGCTTATTTTCTCTGCCACCTCTAGAGGGAAGTCTCCTTTCAAAACATGTGGGCCCAGCGTCCACAGGAGATATCTCCGCATCTTGCTATTAATTTTCCCTGAGTATAGGAGTTTCTCAGTGCGGGGACCCTTGTTACACAGGATGACAGAAGCTATGGGACGATGGAGGCAGATGAATCTAAAATCCCAGGAATTCATATAGACACAAAGAGATTTCCCCTTGTACTCAGCCTACTGAAAAGTGAGAAATACTCTCTGTTTTTTGAAACCACCTACTGTGGTATTTCTGTATGGCAGCACCATGCAGGGAAGATTATTTATGCTGTTGGGAGTTTTCTTAGTCATTTACTTGCATGCTTACTTTCTCTCCTCTCTCCCCCAAAGGTAAGGACAATTTCTGCCTCAATTCCCACTGAGCTTATGGAGGAGACTTTCTGTTCTATAACCATCCAATGCCATCAGTCAATGCTGATCACAGCAACCCAATATAGTAAGGGAGTGAATGAACAAATACATGAATGTATAACTGAATAAGAATGAAACAAAGAGAAATTATTTACATGAATGAGTCTAGAATAATCCCTAAACTATATCCCAGTAAAATATGCTCTTTTTCTGGAAAATTCACTGATGAGTTCCAAAATGAAAGTTATTCAAAGAAGGGCATAAAGCTTCAGGGAGAAGACATTTCCAAGCTGGGAAAGTTGCAAAGCACACCGGCTGCCCTTTCCACCCACCACTGGAAAACCCTCCCCAGTAGCCAGATATCGCTAGACAGAAATGATGCAGTCAAAGTTGAGGACGTTGGAATCTGTGTAGGGTGGAAACCTGTCCGGGGGAGATGCACATATTTTCCACCAAATAAGGAGTGGTAGGAAAGGGCTGACTGCCCTTCCCTCAACAAAATTTGTGAAACCCACAAAAACAGGGCAGTCCCATCGAGTGCTGGCTTTTACCTAAGCTACCCAGTGCATTCACACTCACAGTGACCCCGTAGGATGGGGAGAACTACTCCTGCGGGTTTCCCAAGGCTGTCACTTTAGACGGGAGTAGAAAGCCTCATCCCTCAGCATCCTGCATGCCCTCTCATTGTCCTCCATCACATGCCTTTGGCCACCTTACCAAATCGGGTCTCTCTTTCTGCAGTTCCTCATCATCATGTGGAGCCTGAAGTGTCTCACTTGCCACAAAACCAGAATTTCCCAGGGATCCCTTTGGCTGCTGCCAGGTAAGAAGTGAGGGACCCCTTGCTGACTCTCGATTTGGCAGTCAGGCCTAATGTTCTCTCCGATAAGGACTCACCAAGACTTCCTGAAAAACAGAGGAATGTTTAGCTTTGGGTCAGAAAGCTTGGAATTAGTGCAAGGGAAACCTGAAACTCACAGTCCTTTCTGATGCTGGCAATGCTGGGCTTTCTATACTTTATGAGTGTGAGAGAAATTTGATGGTTTATAACTAGTGATGGCATTCAGCCAGTTCGAACTGATTTGGCAGAACTGATACCTAATTTTTGTTGTTAAATTCAGTGAACAGGTTGTTCAAATAACACTCATAATCAGGATTCTCTCTAAGGTGAGTGGCCAGGCAGCCACCAAATGTGGAAATCGCCAATTTACATTCCTTAATCTCTTTGAATGTTCACCTACACAACAGCGGTGTTCTGGTATGATGTTGAAATAATAGAGTACCTTTTTGTATAGCAAAATTTTATAGGTTGAATTAATAGACTACCTTTGTTGCATATAGGATTTTATTAGGAATCTTCCAGGAGAGAGAGAGAAATCACCACACCTGCACCTATGGCTGGTTCCTTGGTGCCTCTATCTGCTTGCCTATGTGAAAACAGGCTTTTGAGTATTTGAAAGGAAAAGAAAAGTTCCACTGGAGGTAACAAGGGTTTCTGGAAAATATAGTCCCAAGATATTGCAGAGATTCTGCACATACTTGGTCCAAATCTGCACCATTGCTCCTGTGCCCTACCACACTACCACTCTCCCAGGATTAGCTGTAAGGCCATCTGGGAAGGAAAATGGGCTGTCTTAACCAGTGCTGCTTGATCGCTACAATGAAGCTTTTGTATAAGATCTTACAGAAAGGGGGCATTAGCAAATGGCATTATCTGATTAAAGGCATGCCTGACCAGGTCATAATAACTAACATCTCAACTAGCGTGGAGAACATGAAGAGACAGGCAGGTGACTCATTGGCTTGATGACAGCTGCCTGAGAATCAAACCCTGACCCTGGATGTCAAGTCAATTGCAGTGACTCCTATGGGATAGAGTAGAACTGCCCCCACAGGGCTCCCAAGACTATAAACCTGTACAGAAGCAGACTGCCACATCTTTCCCCCATGAAGTAGCTTAGAATTTTCTGGTCAGCCGCTGAGTGCTTTAACCACTGCATCATCAGCCCTGTGTGATCCTAGAACTCTGGCCAGTTACACTGGTCTCAGAGCGCACCATTGCCTGTGACCCTTTGCACTCTAGCCTCAGATGTTTCTGTTACCTCAATGTGCACCCTGTCATTGAGTGCAGGACATTTACATATGCCAACCCTCTCCCTGTAACACATCTTCCCACTGGTCTGGAGGTTGGCAGTTCAACTCCACCCAGGAGAACCTCAGAACAAAGGCCTGACTATTGGGTGCCATAAATATGCCGGCTAAGAAAACCCAGAGGAGCACAGGTCTTCCCGGCAACATCAGTGGTCTCTGTGAATTGAAAGAACTTGGTTGGTAGTGAGTTTGATTAGGGCTTTGTTTGCGCCTCTGAGTTTTGCACGTTTTCCTCCTCTGACTGGAACACACCCTCCCTGACCACCTCCAGAAATCTACTCAACCCTCAAAAATCTGCTCAGTCAGTACTTCTCAACCATTCCCCAAAACCCAAGCCTTTGTGTCTGGGATCAGTGGTGTCTGGCCTCCACAGGATCTTCTACTTTGCCCACCTCCACTAGGATACTTATCAGGCACTCATGTGTGTCCGGCCGGGTTCTCTAGAGAAGCAGAACCATCTCCAAACCCACTGGCTTTGAGTCAATGCCGATTCATAGGGACCCCTGTGGGTTTCCGAGACGGTGAACGTTGATGGGAGTAGAAAGCCTAGTCTTTCTCAGAGCTGCTGGTGGTTTATAACTACCAATCATTAGGATCGTAGCCCAACTCAGAACCACTACCCCACCATGGTTCCAAAGCAAAATCAGATATGTGTATATATATATGGTGGGAGTACTTAGAGGAGTCTCTAGAGAGAATAAACCCAAGGTCAGCAGTACAAAACCATCCCGGGGTGCTTCTGAAGGAAGGCCCAGCCCTCTCTGTGCTTCAGAGGGGTCACAGGAAGAAAAACGCTACCGAGTACAATTCAGTACATCTATGACCATGAGTCCGACTCCCTGCAGCAGCGACTTGGTTTCTGGGTTGCGGGGACCTAGAATCGGCTCTGAGGATGTTGCTAGTCTCCCAACAGGTTCTAGAAGCCCAGAGAAATTAGCGCAGTGAGACGTTGCCCCTCCTGCTTTCTTCCCCCACCCCCCCACCCCTTTCAGTTTGGCAAGGGCTGTATGATGGTTCCCAGTAGAGGAATCCTGTTTTCCACAGGGTCAAAGCCTTGGCGTTTCTGGAAATCTGACCAGGGAGAACAGCTCAGGGTGCTGTTGGCCAGCTCAGCTAGTGTTGTTGCCTATAAAGCAAGCCGAAGTCTCCCAGGCTTCTGGACAGACCACTTCCAGGATTAAAATCAGGTTTATACGCTCTTGATTGCTTCAGTGCCAGAAACGGGTTTGGTTTCATTTCATTAACCTGGAGACCTGAGTCGAGAGCATAATCCATGGTGTCAAGACATTCCCTGTCATGAGATTGAGCTGCAGTAGCACCGGAGGCGCGGATAAAAGCAACGCTGATGGCAATAGTGAATGAACCCCCAAATCAGGGCTCGGTGTCAGTCTTGGTCAAACCACTGAGGACAGTCTTGGGAGAGATTCATGTGTGTGTGTGTTTAGAAATAGAAGAGGGCTTAAAAATTCCGTGGAAAAATTCTGTTACCTATTGTTAAAAAACATTTTTAATGGTAAATAAGAGATGGTTTATATCTCATGTCATCAATTTTCACTCAGCAGGAGCCCTGAGGTTTAGTGGTTGGATTGTTGCCCTGAAAGTTCAGCAACGTGGTACCACCCACTAGTGGTCGGGAGAAAGATGTGTGTTTAAATTCCATTAAAGTGTTACAGTCATGGAAACCCACCGGGAAAGGCAGTTCTACCCAATCCTGTAAGGTCTCTGAGTCAGAATCAATTTGGCAGCAGTGAGGTTAGTTTAAACTACTTAACAAACCTCCCAATAGATTAGCCCAACCCCCTCCTTTGATTTCTCTTTCTCCTCTTGTGAGTTAGTATCTTCCCCTTCACCCAAGTTAACCTCCTAACCCAGTCTTCCCAAAGTGGGTGATACCACCCCGCTAGAGGATGTTGGAATGGCTGCAAAATCACAAACCCATACTTCATTCCGGACAGAGGCCTGGATTACAAAGGTTTTATTGCAGAGGGGAGGAGCGCTGAGTAGATTTTTCTTTCTTTTCTGAAGAGTGGGAAATAGGCCAAATACATTTGGGAACCTATATTCTAGCCTGTTGTTTCATCTTCCCTCCCTTGCCTCCTTTCTCCCACCCCCACCTCCTCGGACACTTCCAAATCTGTTCCCTAGTATGTGAAAACCTGAGTCTCCTTTTTTGTTTGGGTTTTTTTTTTTTTTTTGCTTTGTTTTTTCCTTTAAACAGTGGTCTTGTGCAATATTGGTCCTTTTGCGGTGGACTAAAGTCACTCAGCATAATGTTCTCCAGGTCGATCCATGCCAGGAGATGTTTTGTGGTACTATGCACAAAACAACAACAAACCATTATCTTTCAATTCCATTTTCCACCTAATTTTTGAAGCCCCTTGTATTTTTCCTTGCCATATATCGTTCATGGAGCTCTGGGGGCATAGCAGTCACACATTGGGCTGCTAACCACAAGGTCCACTGTCTGAGACCCCTCTTTTTCTCGAGGGGTTTCCTTTTAATGAGCTATACATTTTTACCCAGCTCACATTTCCAAAAACTATGAAATTATTTCTGTACTTTCTCCCTTGCTCTGGCTGATTCAACTTCAATTCAATTGGTACATATTTCTGATGTAGACTATGAGCTTCAACCAGTCAAAACAACTTTCTTTAATGACTGTCATTGTAAACTCACTGCCACCAAGTCAATGCTGATTCAGAGTGACCACCCGGGGGTTTCAGATATTGTAACTGTTTACGGGAGTCAAAAGGCCAGTCTTTCTCCTGCAGAGCTGCCGGTGGTTTGGAACTGCCAACCACGCACATTGCAGCCCAACCTGAGTTGCAAGGCCAGTCAAAATGAATAGCATCCACAAGGAGAGACTCGTGTAAGCTTATGGAAATGATTTGTTTATAGATTTTTTCCCTGTCTACCATGTACAATCTTAGGGAAACAATGTATGTTATACTGCCTTGAAGATGAAATGATGCTTCCAGCATAATCCGAAAAACTTAAAGTGTTTTCTTCATGACATGATCATCGACCCTATGAAAGGAGTTTTATCCACAAGGGAAAAACACTAACATTCTTTCCGTTCTCACGTGTCTTTTAGCTCTTCCTTCATGACGAGCCCCCACAGTGTGCAAAGCAGAGGTAAGAACACACTACACGAATATTACAAAACAAGCAAGTCACCCACCACCATAATGCCAAACAGCGACTGAACTTTCGTGACCCTCAAAGTTACTGAGCGGATGTTTATAAAAGTAATGAGTTCATTTTCATTGGTAATTAGTGTTACATGGTGTAAATATAATACAACGTTTATCCTTAATGAATATAGTCATTTAGAGAGTTTCTACTTTTTGCCTTCTCAAGTAATGCTGCCCATCTCAACAAATGAAATCAATGATGATATTGCATTAGATACCCATAAATGTGGCTCTCTCTCTCTCTCTCTTTTCTAAGCTTTTAAATGTTTATTATATAATATCTTAAATTTGGAATTATGAAATTAAATTAATATTCAAAATTCTTCTTACTTTATATAATTAATAAATATTTACTATGTACAATACTTTAGCAAAAATACAAGGATAGCACAGATAATTTTAAAAACCTATTAACGTAGATGATCTTCAATTTTTGTCTATGATTACTTATTACCTTCACAGCAGCTTTCTGAGTATTTGTAAATATATGTTTCTATACAAACAGTCATCATAGTGACGACTAGTTAATGACACTATAGATCATTTCCAGACTAAAACATTTGGATTGGTTCTTTTTTGTACCTCATGTATCTCAGCTTTATTAGTTTATATCTTGTGGGGTTTTTTCTGTTGTTTTTTTTAAATTATTTTATTGGGGGCTCATACAACTCTTATCACAATCCATACACACATTTTTAAATTTGTTGCCCCCATCATTCTCAAAATATTTGCTCTCCACTTAAGCCCTTGGTATCAGCTCCTCATTTCCCCCCCTCCCTCCTCATTACCCCCCACATGAACACTTGATAATTTATAAATTATTTTGTCATGCCTTACACTGTCCAATGCCTCCCTTCACCCACTTTTCTGTTGTTCGTCCCCCAGAGAGGAGGTTATATGTAGATCCTTATAATCAGTACCTCTTTTCTACCCCACCTTCCCTCCACCCTCTGGTATCGCCACTTTCACCACTGGTCCTGAAGGGATCATCTGTCCTGGATTCCCTGTGTTTCCAGTTCCTATCTGTACCAGTGTACGTCCTCTGGTCTAGCCAGATTTGTAAGGTAGAATTGGGATCCTGATAGTGGAGGAGGGAAGCATTTAAGAATTAGAGGAAAGTTGTATGTTTCATTGTTGCCACACAACACGCTGGCAGGCTCGTCTCCACCATGCGACCCTTCTGTAAGGGGGTGTCCAGTTACCTACAGATGGGTTTTGGGCCTCCACTCTGCACTCCCCCTCATTCACAATGATATGATTTCCTTCCACCTTTCATCTCTCCTTCTATAATTTCCTATCCTCCCCACTCCCTAGCTTCCTTGCAGTCATCAAAGTCTTACCATTGATATTAAACACCTTTTCTTTTTCTTTGTTTTTCTCTCATTAAATACTTATCTTTGTAAGATTCACTAAGATTGGGAAGCATAATGCTCCCCAGTTTTGTTCACAATGAACATGTTTGAAGATTACTCTGGATGTTCTATGGGAAAGGGAGGAAGGGATGCAGGAGATGAGGCAAGATGAGGCAAAACCAATCAGAGGTGATCCCAATCTTTGGGGTCTCAGGTGATGGTGATAAAACCAGTATGGTCACCATGGGGATCAGAGGATGTGCGTGAGCTCCAGCTCCACGTTAGTGGAAGACGAGCTGAGACATTACTGACATCAGATTTAAAGGTGAATTAATTTTTCCCCTAGTTCATAATGGAAGCCTGCAATCCCATTCTCCTCAGCGATGTCCATCTCCAACCGGCTACAACTCTCACGAGAATCAGTTACCTTGCAAAAACATGAGCTGGAAAAAGCCTTATCCCCCATCATGGGATACAAAGGTAAAACAGATAGTTCTCTGCCAAGTCTTTCTAGATAACTTAGCATTACAATAGACTTTATTGAATAATGCCTAAAGTGAAATTATAATTATCACTACCATTTTTCCTTGCTACATTGAATTTGGGTTTTGCCCAATGCAATCTGCTCTTCTATCAAGTTCTTTAACATGCCTATTAACAGGCTCTCAAAATGTTTTCCCATTAATCAAAACCAAAGAGCAGAGAGATTTAAAGATGTATTTTCTATTTATTTGCTACTCAATCATCTTTTGTGGATTAACTGGGATTTATACCTTCACCATTCTTTTTTCAACCACGATGGGCATATTGCATATTCCTTTTCTTTGAACAACTCAACAACAACTTTTAAACGCTTATTATGTGGCAGAAAATAAACTAGCAGTTATGGGCCTTGTCCCAGATGGCAATTTATGGAGGGGACACATGTCAGCAGATAAACATGTCGTCTTGCTGGTCCATCATCTACCATGTTTTTCACGTATGACACACCCACTTAAGTAGCACAAACATGCATAGGACACTAACCAGTGAAGGAATCATTCAGGTTTCAAAAAATATATATAACATATATGCATATTATTATTTGCATACACATGCATTGAGTCCGAGTCACTTTCTAAAACAGTGTCAATCCGTCTTAGGAAGGGTCTTCCATTTGACAATGACCTGCTCCACCAAGCATGGTGTCCTTTTCCAGGAACTAGTCGTTCCTGATAACATGTCCGAAGTATGTGAGAAAGCCGTGCCATCTTCCCTTCTAAGGGGCATTCTGGATATCCTTCCTCCAAGATATGTGTGTTTGTTTCTTCTTTTGGCAGCCCATGGTACTGTCAAAATTGTGTACTCACACCACAATTCATATGCATCCTGTCTTCTCTCGTCTTCCTTCTTCATTGCCCAAGTTTCACATGCACCCAAGGCATTTGAAAACACAGTGGCTTGGGTTAAGCTTACCTTCTTCCGCAAACTGACATCCTGGCTCTTCAGTACTTTAAAGAAAGCTGTGTAGCAGATTTACTCAATAGAATACATCGTTGGATTTATTGACTACTGCATATATGAGATCCATCATGAACAAGCACACACTCAGGAATTGTAGCTAGAGAAACGATCTCAATGATTGTGGGTGATCAAAAGAAACCCATTTTAAAATCGATGTAAATAAGGCATAATAAATAAGGACAGAAAGTTAGGCTAGCAGTTACATTCTAAGTGGGCTACGTGTAAGTGTCACTAGCATTGTGTCTGTCTCCTCCCCCTGGCTGCTTGTTGATGGCCCAGGCAGCACAGGCTCCATGAACAATGCACCTTCTGTCTTTGTGAGCTTTCGCAGATTCCGCTTCAGAGATATTTGATAGATTGATGGCTTATAGAAGAGGTGGTGAAGAGTCCTTCCTCAACTGATGGAATGAGATTTCTAGTCACTTCCAGTGACAGACCATCTCAGTAAAGGCAGGCAGGAGCATTACAACGTCATATTGGAGAATGGCTGGACTTTGGCTTTCCTATTTGGGGCATGTGATCAGGAAAAAAAACAATCTCTAGAAAAGGACATCATAGTTGGTAAAGTGCAGGGTCAGTGGGAATGAGAGAAATAAATACTCAATAAGATTATTGTTGTTGTTTTGTTGTTCTTCGTTGCCATGGAGTTGGTTCTAACAGCCCCCCAATGTACAACAGAGGGAAACGCTTCGCTGTCATGTGCCATTGTCACATTTGCTGTTATGTTTGAGTCCATTGTTGCAGCAACTGTATCAGGCCATCTCAAGGGTCTTTGAAGTAGTCAGTTTATTGTGCCAACCTGGCCGATAAACACCCATGTGGGGTTAATTGAAGGGCGGAGGGATAAATGGTTTGGTGAACCTCGCCTTTCTAGTTCTTGGGTCTCTTGCTTTGTGATGGTCAGACCAGGGGACAGCTGCCTTAGTCAGTTCCCTGTTTCAGCTGGCAAGGCTCACTTCTTGCAAGACATCCCCAAGGAGAAGCCGCATGGACCTACCCCGATGCAGCCTTGGGTGCTGGAGCACCTGTGTGGAGACCCCAGCCAGCCCTGAGATGCTTACACGTTCACTGACTCAGCTTTCCTCCTGCAGTCGGCATCATAGTGTGTGTTTTGTGAGATGGCGTGGATTGGTTTCAGACATATGGGTTAATGCTGGACTTGTGGGCTTGGGCAGCACTGGGTTGGGATGTTTTCTTGATGTGCACTTACCCTTTATATAAAACTCTCTCTTATACATGAGTTTCTGTGGATTTGTTTCTCTAAAGTACCCAGACTAACACAGTCTTCCTCTTTTTATTCTGCTCTTCCTCTTTATCTTGCATGATGTTGTTTTTTTTCCAGGAACTGATCTCTCCCAATCACTTCTTTAAAGACAGAGTTGATTGTTCTTATGGCAAGCACGGTACTTTCAATATTATTCACCAGCACCATAATTAAAATTCGTTGGTGTTCCTTATTCAGTGTTCAACTTTTACATGTATATGAAGTTATTGAAAATAACTGGGTCTGGTGCACCTCAATCTTCAAAGTAACATCCTTGCTCTTTGACACTATAAAATCAACACTTTATAATAAAATAGATTGGCAGAAAAGTCAAAACAATAAACTCAAACACTAACAATCATGAAGATGGTGTAGCACTGGGTAACATTATTTTCTGATATGTTTATGGTCATTATGAATTAGAACTTACTCAACATCTAAGTTCAATTATAACTGCTGATTCAATTATAACTATTGATTCCAATTTTTTCTTGCACCTGTGGGATTTTCCAGATTCAGGGATGGGATTGGCTTTACTGCAAATATATTATAAATCCACAACCAATGCTCAGACAGTGTTGAGATTAAACAATACATTGCATTGGGTAAATCTGATGCACAAGACCTTCGAGTGTTTAAAAGCAAGGATGTTACTGTGAGGACTAAGGTATACCTAACCCAAGTCATGATATTTTCAATTTCCTCATCTGCATGTGTAAGTTTAACATTGAATAAGGAAGACCAAAGAAAAAAATTTGCATTTGAATTATGGTGCCAGAGAAGAGAGAAAGTGCCACGAACTGCCAAAAGAACAAATTCTAGGAATGTGTTTGTCTTGGCTTGGAATACGTACAGCCTGAATGCACCTTAGAGGCAAAAGTGCCAAGACTTTGCCTCATGTACTGCGGAGATGCTGTCGGAGAGACCAGTCCCTGGAAAAGTACCTCATGTTTGGTAAATAAAGGTAGCAAGAGGAGTCCCCTCAACATAATGGATTGACACAATGGCTGCAGCATAGGCTCAAACGTACAACCAGTTGTGAGGATGGCAAAGCACTGGGTGTAGTTTCTTTCTGTTGTACACGGAGCCACTCTAAGTCCTTACTGGGACATCTAACAAAACAACAACAACCACAAATCAAATTTCATTGGGCTGGTGAGATAAAATTAAATGTTGAATTAATGGATGGATGGATGAATGGATAGATGAAACAGCATTTCCTTCTGAGCTAAAATATTTATTATTGAACCTGGTGTGCAGGGTGTCCAGCACCACAATTGGTATGTTGGAGAATACAGCCGACAAGCAGTAGAAGAGGCACTGAGGAAAGAGAGCAAGGTAATTCCCTCTAAGCCTAATTCCCTTCCTGCTGTCATCCTATGGGTTTCATCCCATAGGTCCAAGAATGTCATAAGCGGTGCACTTTGGCATAATGCTTCCTGTATCACCCTGGTTTTCTCAGTGTAAGTATCCCTGTTAGTGCTGTGAGTTGGACATCGGGCTGCTAAACACCAGGTCAGCTGTTCAAATTCGCCACCTGTTCTGAGGGAGAAAAGTGAGACTATCTGTTCCTGAAAAGATTGATAGTCCCAGAAACCCTATAAAGGGTCACTATGATTCAGAATGGACTCAATGGAAGTAGGTTTGGGTTGGGAGGTTTGGGAAATATGTAATTACAAGAGAAAATTCATATGCAGTGTTTCAGATTTGAGGTGCATTTGTGCAATGTGTCACTGTGTTGCTTTCTCAAGTTCTTAAAAAAGATTCCACTATAAACCTAGAAACCAAATCTGAGGCATCAAGTCAACTCTGCTGCTTGCCCCTGCCCCATGTGTTGGTATTTTCTTGACTATAATCTTTAAAGAAGGAAATCACCAGATCTTTCATGCACAATGCTGTTGGGTGGGCTTAAATCACCTAACTTTAGTTTATAACACCCAAGGACTGATGCTTTTAAGACTGGGCTTCTTTACTTGTAAAATGGAGATAGGGGAATCAAACGCTGTGAACAATTTGAAAGGTCAAATATGTAGATCTGGGTATAGATGAAGGTCACCATCATTATGTGTTCCTTCTCCTATTTCATCTCCCTCCTAAATATCTGCCCAAGTTACAGCGAGGTCTTCACATTCCACCTTCTACAAGAAGGGGCTGTGAGCACTGTCATCATCCGGACTGAATGACAGGTTGTTGTAACAAACACCCTCAACATTTCCGTCATTAGGAAAGGGAAACTTTTTCTTGCTTACATCCATGACCTAAGCAGGTTTGCAATGTGAGAGCTCAGGATGCTGGAGGCCCCATCCCAATATACACTTCCACCAATCACACTGGCTTTCTGGATTCTTTTGAAGCACCCTACGTCACCTCTGCTCACATGTCCTTGGCTAAATGTGTCATGTAGACAACGTGATGTGGTAGTGTCCAAAAGCAGGCGAGAACTGGGATAGCTGCAATTACATCAAGGGCCTTCGCTTCTCAGTAACAGATATATCACAAGCAAGAGACTTTAAGTAAATTGATTTTCTCACATTTCAGGAGATTAAAAGTCGGAAGTAGGGGCCTGGTTTTAGAGGGAGGTCCTTCCCTGTCTATCTCAGCTTCTAGTAGCCAGCAATTTGGGATGTTTCTAGGATTATAGCTGTGTCTTTTCTGTGTGTGTATGTAACATTTCCTACCTGTGCATGTATCTCTGTGTTTATTCAACTCTTTTCATAATTCAGAAGTAATTAGGTTTAGGACATTAGTGTGTCCTCATTCTCAAAACAATAAACCCCTGTTTTCAAGCAGGAGTTTAAAAGAGTTCAAAGAAAAAATGAAAATATAAATCAAATTTTCTACCATCTTTTACAGAGATAGATGTGAGGATTTCAGCACACATTTTGAGTGGCACAATCCAATCATAACATCAAATAATGCCCAAACTTGAAAAGCAGAAATTAGTTTTTGAGGAACCATGTGCAGACTTACTCTAGATTATTTAGAAGTAGTAGACAAGTGCTCAAGACAAATACAATATCAAAACCTATCCTTAACTATCCAGTGCAATAGTCATTGTTGAATGAAGAAATACCAATATAAATAAGTTAATTAGTGGGCAGATAAATAGTGATCTGTAAGCATAAATGATCTTGTTAGATGCCATTAAGTTAGTTCCAGCTCATAGAGATCATGAGTACAATAGAACAAAACGCCACCCGGCCATGTTTCATCCTCATAATTGTTAGGTTTGAGCCCATTTTTGCAGCCACTGTGTCAAAGCATCTCCTTGAGGGCCTTCCTCTCTTTCACTGCTCTTACATTTTACCAAGCAGGATGTCCTTTTCCAAGAACTGGCCTCTCCTGTGAAAACATGTCTAAAGTAAGCGAGACAAAGACTCATCACCTTTACATCCAAAGAGCATTCTGGTCCAACGTCTTTCAAGGCACATTGGTTTGTTCTTCACTGTAGACTATGTCAAAGCCTGCAAGATCTTGGACAGCTGTTTATAAAAGTTAACACCGTTACTTAATCTTTGAGAACAATCACATCAGCAGGTGACTTGTTGCAACATTGTGTGTAGAGCATAATATTAAGGACTAAAATTAATAATGTAGCCATAAGTAAGATAAGGGACTACCTGGAATTTGTCAAAGTAGCAACAGGATACTATGCTGGCGCTAACAAAGTGCCTCTGTTACTGTGTGCACGGCATCTTCCTAAAAACATAAGGGTGGGGAACAGAATTAGCCCTTTTCTAGATGAGGAAACAGAGGCTAAACCAACATCTAGGTCACACAATGGAGAAAAGGGTAGCCAGAAAGCACAGCTGCTTCTGATGGCTACCACGGTCCTTACCTCTAGGTGAGGACTCCTGCACTCTTCTCCTGAAGGACCTTCCCCTCTCAAGACAGTCTGTCTTGGAACCTGCCATGGCTCCCATTTGCCAAGGCAACCTATCAAGAGCAGAGCAGTGGCATTGGACTAACAATAGTCAGGTCTCCACCCATGGCTCCTGTTTTGGTCACCAGGCACCGAACAAGCGGCGTTCCCATTGGAAGCACTGCTCTCAGAGGCGTTCCTTCCAAAAACACATATGCAATCATGGCAGAGAAACATCGGTGTCACTGAGCACCCTCACTGAATGCCCTCTTCCTCACTCTCT